ACGGGTGGTGACCGTGGGGAGTCGTGTCCTGAGGTGAGGTTAGGCTGCAGGATTCTCCTGTGCTGCTCTTCCAGCTCCGTCGCATGCAGGAGATGATTGCAAGAATGCAGGCCCAGATGCAGATGCAGATGCAAAGTGGAGAAAGTGACAGCAGTGCAGTTCATGGGCACCACGTGTAAAGTCTGGGTAAGTCTGAGAAAATGAACTCCATCCTGGCTATAACCAGGACATTAAGATGTTCAAATAGCTGCTTAAAGGGCTTCTCCTTCCATTGCTCAGTGGTGTGGCTGGAAAAATGTTTCCAAGATGGGTTTGCATAGCGTTCAGTCATCATTTTGGTTCTTGAGGACTAACTGCTGTTTGTGGAGTGAAGTGACTTGGAGTCAAACTAAACAGGTGTGGGGGGTATGTGTGTACACATGTATACGTGCGAATTTCCCATGGAGTCCGTGCAACATACACTGCAGGAGTTGTGGAAGAAGTCTTTGAAACAGGTGATGGAGTAGTTGTTTCCTTGTGGGTTATAACATGTGCTGTTTTGGGTTTCTGTCTGTGAGAAGACAGCTGACACTATGTTTGTCTCATTTTCAGATGGCTTTGTCCCCTGACTCAGAGGAGACCCCTTGGAGCTGATTGCAGTGCTGGCAGAGCAGGGAGGATGCCTCTTGCTCCCCACTTGGAGCTGCTGTAGAGCTTAACATGGGAGTGTTTTGTGGTAGCTCTTGAGATATATTGCATAACATGTATTCAGTTGGTATTTTGTATCTTACACACATTTGACTTTGGTTTTGTTTAGTCATTCCTATACTGAGGTTATTTTCAATTTCCCATTGTATTAGGGATTCAAAATATACTTTGAAACTTTTTTAGCCTGATACAGTGTTAGATATTTTTTAATGTATCTTATTAGCTCCCTGCTTTTAACTTTGTGTTCCCTTTGGAGATGAACAGCTGTCAGTGGTTCCTTGGTCAGTGGCAGGTGAGAGTCACCTCACCAGGGATCCCACGAGGTTAGTTTTGTATGTCTTGCAGCACTTAGAGCTGTCTGGGAGACCTTCAGCCCTTTCTCTGCTTGCTGCAGACATCACCTGGAAATTCAGGCATGCCTTGTGTAGCAAAGGAAGGAGAGGAAATGCCCTGTGAAGCACAATGTGACATACATGACAGGCATTATTTCCTCCAGATCTAACCCTGGAGGATTGTTGTTTGCCCAAAACCGGTTACCCTAGTGCAGCTGATTTTGAAGAGTTCCTTCTAGGTCAGCACAAGTCAGTCCTGCTGTTTTCTGGCATTGCTGTAGCCAAATAAACTTGGATAATGCTGATGTTGTTCAATGAGAGGAACCCCAAGAGTAGTTTTCTATGCATGGGTGTTCCCTGTATCCAAAGGCATAAGAAATTCTGTAGTTCCTAGTGAGTGTTTTCATACAATTTTTAGGTGATTGCAGACTGCTAAGTGTAGTGCAGAGTATGTACCAGCACCTCTCTGTGAGAGTGACCTGTGCCTTGCAGTCAGTGCAGGCTGAGTGCAGCTTTTGCCCTGAGGTGGAGTCAGCACCATCACTGGAGGTGACACTGGTTATTTGTTCCTTGGGCCCAGGTCACTTTGCTCAGCACTGGTGGCCAAGGACAGTGGTCCCAGCTGCACTGGACAGGAGTGCACAGCAGGCTGGAGCTGTGCTGGCCCAGCTGGGGCCTGACTCTGCTGCTTCTGCTACAGAACATTTGAACTGCTAACTACAGGTACAGTAGCAGCTTCTTTCCTCTCTGTGAGCTCAGGTGCAGCTGTGGCTTTCATAGGGTTTTTTTAAAGGTTCTTTGAAAAAAATAATGGAATTTCTGCAGCTAATGTAGAATTCCAGAGGTGCTCCAGTGTCTAGGTTAAACACAGACCTGCTGAGCAGCTGAAACTTTTAGCTGCTGAAGCTGCTGTTTATGAGGTGGTGTATGTTTGCAGCTTCCTACGAGTGTGAAGTCAACCCTGCAGCCCTTGCTTGGGCAGCTCCAGCTCTCTCCTCAGCACTTGCTGTCGGAGTTTTACATGGCTCATTTGACCTCCCTAGCCTTGCCAGCAGTGAAAACAAGAACCTTGGTGTATGCTGAGAGGCACAGAAGTGCTAAGTCCCTTTTTTTGCCAAACACGCATAAAACTTCGATGGGAAAACATGTACTTATAAATTCTTGACTTGCTTGTTCAAAAGCAGGTGTAGAAACGGAGCAATGTGGTAGCACTGCCAGGGAACTCCACACCATAGAGCCATAGAAGTTTAGGGGTTGGAAAGGGCCTTAGGGATCCCCCAGCCCCTGCCCTGGGCAGGGACACCTCCCACCAGAGTAGGTTGCTCAAGGCTTTAGCCAACCTGGAATGCACGCTGCCAGGGTTGGGGCAGCCACAGCCTCCCTGGGCAACCTGGGCCAGTATCTTACTTGCATTCCCATGGCTGTGAGCCGTACTTGAAGCAAACTGGGAATTGTGAAGTGCCTGCACAGGGCCCTGGCTGTATGTGTCACTCTGTCTGTGCTCAGGTGACAGTGTGGTCTTGTGTGTCTGACACGGGAAGGAGAGCAAACCTGCTCCATGTGTTCAGTGCTGCTTGGTCACTTCCTGTGGAGTTACAGTGTCTGACTCTAAAATACCACGTGTCTGTTACAATATTTGGTCAGGATAAAGTATTCCATTTGATTCTCAGGCAAATAACTTTTGATCTACAAATTCCAGCAGGAGAGATATTTTTGTATGCTGTTTTTCTGGTTTGTTTTTTTTAATGGGAAAGAGCAAATTTGTAACACTTGCCATGTGAACTGCAATGCTTAAACAGGTACCTGCTGCTTCCCAAGCTTTTGGGGCAGTTGTTCATGAGGTGCCTCGTGCCTCTGGAGGTCTGTTTCCCTTCGCTTCTCTTGGGGTGATCTTGAAATTCATGGGTCTGTGTTAAGACATGAAAAATGAGACTTTTCTCGGAAGCTGTTCCAGAGAAACAGCTGCTGGTTGAGGGAAGACTTGGGCAGCAGAAAGGCTTTGGGACTGAAGGTAGGAGCTGTTTGTGGCTTGCTGACCTGGCCACAGTTGTTACAGTATTGTGGCAGCTTTTATTTCAGGAACCAAAATAATTTGGAATTGTAGAGTTTTATAGCTGGTAGTAAAAAAATTACTTGTTCTGGGTACAGAAATCTGTTCCATTCTGTTTGACTGTACTGCCGTTAGCCAAACTACAATAAAAGATGCTGAAATACACTTTCACAGTTATGATTCTGTATTACAATCAGCCCCAGCAACACTGATCTGTGGTGGGATGTTTGAAATGCAAAGAAGAAATGCAGGTGTGGTTGGAACCTTTTCCTCTAAGTTAATACCTCACCCAATCTATGCCTGCACTTCTAGGAGCATTTCTTTCCTGGGATCTACTTTCTCTGGGTAGTCTCTGTGCTGCTCAGCAGGTTTTCCTCTGCTGCCTTTAGACTCCTGCCCCTTGCTCCTCCTGCTTGGGGTCCTGCAAGCTCCTGGCATTTTTCTCACGTTTCAGCCACACTTCTGGGTAACATTTCTCAGTGATGGTGGCTGGTGTGCCCTTCACTGGAGAGTGGTGGGAGCTGACTCCCTGGCCACCCTGGCCCTCCAGCAGGGACCGAGGAAGGTCCTTCAGCCTTTGGTGTGCCTTTCCAGGTGGTTGTCAGCATTAGGATTTACTCCCAGGCCTTCCTTTGGGTGGTACCTGTGGAGGAATTGGCCATACCTCTCTCCTCAGAAGCAGAGTGAGTGGCTGAGGAGAAAGTTGTCCTGTGATGGGAGAGGAAAAGAATGTTTGGCATTTCATTTACAACTGCTGCCCAACCCGACCGTTCAGCCTTTCCCTCGGTGCACTGTCAGTTTACTCTGCTGAGTGTCCAGACCTGGCTGGGCACACCCTGTGTCTGGCAGGGGCTGCTCTGCCGGGCTCTCACTGCTCCTCTTGCCTCTGTGCCCTGAGGGAGGATTTCCATCAGGACTTTGTTAGCTTGTCACACAGATTTAGTGGGTAAAAACAAAAAAAGAGAAAAAAAGTGAATATAATACCTGCTAACTCCTGTTTCCTGACCTCTGGGGAAGGAAAAGCAAACCCGTCATTTTCCCTGCGTTTTTCTGGGCACTTAGCTCCCCATCCTGAAATGCTGGATGTTTTAGGGAAGTGCCTGAGCTGGAGGGCAAACGAGGTTGCTAATTGCTTACAGTCTGGGGAATATGCAGTAATAGAATCCATAAATGTTTTGGGAAGAGTTGAAACTTGCTTGGGAAGACTTGTACTGGAGTTCAGTGCAAAGAACCCCATGGAATTATATGCTCTTCCCTGTTTGCTGTTTTCTCGACTTCGTGTAGTGCACAAAGAGCCTAACATGGAGCTCGGGCTGGCGGAGAGCAGGTCAGGGAAACACTTCAGGGGCTCCTGCGCTGGGAGAAGGCTGTGACTAAACCACTCCCAGCTCAACCTGCTGAAGAGCTCTTCCCACAGCCCGCGGCTCCCGAGGGCATTTCTCAGGAGAGTTTCTGCAGCGTTTGGCAAGGTACGATCTGATGGAGCTGTGTGTTTGCAAGTTCAGTTTCGGTGCTCGGAATGCAGGAGGCAAATGCAGCTTACTCCTACCCACAGGAATGGGAGCCTGTCAGTCTGGTGAGGCAGGGGAGGTGTCCAGCTGCCCCAGATGGAGAGCAGCAGTTTTTGGGAACCTGCCCCCAGCGAGGGCAGAGCCAGCCCTGCAGTTTCCCTGCTCAGCTGTGCCCTGGAGCGAGCAGTGCAGCGCTTTGGCTGCTGTGGGACACGCCGAGCTCCTGGACAGGCAGAGAACGAGGAGCCCTGCTCCCTCTGCCAAGCCTGGGGCTTGCCCTGCACCCCCTGAAACCCAGTGTGAAGGGCCCTGGAGCAGCCACTTTGTGCTCCATCCCGGCCCTCCCTGGCTCTTGGCTCTGCACTTATCCTCCGTGGTGACCAACCAGTGTCAGACTTAAGGCACACCTGCGTTCCAAGAGGGGCCACATTGCCAGGTAGGAAATTCTGCTCCACCGTGTAAGTCACCTCAAGGAAGACATGGCAAAGGGTCAGGGAGATCTGAGCTATGAGACCTGTCTGCTGTTAGCAACTTCAATGCATGAGGCATTCTGCTTAAAGTGCCTCAGGCTGGTTGTCCTCCTGGTTTTCATTGAGGAA